GGGTTCCCGGGCCGGGGTAAGCGGGGCCCGGGAGGGGATGGTGCCGGAACGGGTGGGATCCGCCGCAGGGCACGGGCGCCCCTCGGTCGGCCCTGAAGGCTGCGCCTTCCAGCTTCGTGCACTGGGGAAGGAAACAGACTTTGACGACTGAATTTGTCCAGACCCCACGCTGCCGGGATTTGAACCCACGGCTTCACGGAGCCCAGGTTCTCCTTAGCTGTGGAGTATACAGGGTCGTCCTCGGTAATGGCCCAGCTGGGTGTTTTCCATCCCCGCTCCGACCCCCAGAGTCTGGAGCTCTGCAGGGAACGAGGCTGAAGCACCTGCCAGGGCAAGGGTGGGAGGAATGAGGAAATGGCCTGAGGGTTTCCCAGGTGGTTGGGTGGTTTTAGGGACAGGGCACCTCAGGGGAACGGCTGCGCGCCTGCTTTCGGAATTTGTGAGGGCTTCAAAGAGGGCTCTGGAGTCCCTGAAGGCCGTGAAATGGGTTCAAGGAGTTGGGATTCAGTAGCCTGGAAGACCAGGGCGGCAGCAGTGAGGGCTGCGGTGGTGGTGATGGGAGGGGTGAAAGGTTTGTTTCTCAGACCCTGACACCGGGAGGGGCCCCCCCACCGCGGTCCAGCTGCCTTAGGTGCCCGGCATTTTGCCCAGGTGAAACCTAATTATCATAAAAACCGACATTTATTGAAATCTGTGTGCTGGGCACCATTCCAAGGGCTTCATTAAGTGGGTCTTACTGGTCCCGTTTTACAGGTGGGGGAAATGAAGAGCAAAGACTGCAGAGCTAAGTCAGTGGGAGAAGTGGCTTCGAACAGGGCTGTCTGGCCGAGACCACCCTGTCACCCACGCCAATATTCTGCACTGAACATGGGGGATTGGGCCCTGGAGGTAAAATTCTGGTACAGATGGCACAGAGGCAGGTGCCAGGGCAGCCCGGGGCCTTGCCGGGGCCAGGTAAGGAGCTGCAGGCCACCTCTGTGTATGTTGGCTCTTGGACTTCCCTCTGGCCAGCTGTGCCGGATTTCTGGATTGGACAGAAAAACAAAACAAGAAAATAAAAGCCAAGTTTTCAGAAAGCGTTGCTGCTTTTAATGTTTCCTAAGAACATTCAAGACACAACCACCATCTATTACCGCCTTTCCATAAAATAAATTTTAGTCCCCTCAAAATAAGAACATCATCTGAACGGAGAACAGTCATTCTTGCTGGGTGTGATGGCATGCACCTGTAGCCCCGGGTGCAGGGAGGCCAAGGCAGGAGAATCTTTTGAGACCAACCTGGGAAGAATAGCAAGACCCTGGCTCTAAAAATTTCCGAAGAACGGAGCTGTTACTGACTTTATACTGAAAAATAGGCGTTCCTCTCTTTAATTCTTTAGTGTGCTGTGGACTGGTAACAATGTCACTGTGGAGATGCCTGCCTCCCATCCCTCTGAGTCATGTGAGGGCAGAACCAGAAGAAATGGGCTTTAGGATGGGTGTGGAGGTGCATAACCGTAATCCCAGAACTCTTAAGAGGCCGAGGCAGGAAGATCGAAACTTTGAGTCCAGACTGGGCTACTCAGAGACAGACCCTGTCTCAAAATAAAAAATATAGAAAGGGGTGTAGCTCAGTATGAAGTCCCTGAATTCAATCCCCAGTTTTGTTTTGTTTTGTTTTGTTTTGTTTTAAGTAGTCAAAGAAGGAGGGAGTTAGGTTACAGTGGAGAAAGAACTCTTTGGACATCTTTAAAGAATCTTCAAGTGGGGCCAGGGATTTAGCTCAGTGGTTCCACCACCTGCCTTGCAAGCACAAGGTCTTGAGTTCGATTCCTCGTACAAAAAAAACCCCAAAAAACCTCGAGTATGTTTGCTCAGGGTGCCAGTTGCAGAATCAGCTGTTGGATGGGGGGTGTGTGGCTTTCCATGTCACTCTGGGGGACACTGCGGGGACCTTGTTCTGAGGGATTTGATCTCACATCTGCCAAGGCAGCCTTTCGCCCTAAAGTGACTGTCGCTCTCTGGTAGCTGTCACCTCCTGTTCAGTACTGGCCAGAGCTGGAGGCTGGAGGGTGTGAGGAGGAGGAGGCCGGGTGTCACCTGCCAGGTCCCAGTGTAGACATCAGAGCGTCTGTCTGGTGGGCTGGCGCCATCTTCCTATTGTAGAGCGCTCAGGCCCATCCTGCCGCTGGGGAGGGGCCCCCAGATGCAGGCCTGGTCTGAAAGGCACAGGATGCCCATGTTTTCATCCTGTGGTTTTAGAAGGGAACATCTGAATCTCTTCAGTTTACAGAGACAAAAACTGAGGCCCAGGCCTATGCAGCCCCCACTCCACCAGGGCCACTCAAAATGGGCCGATGGGCACACCCCAGACTCCCTCCTGGGAAGGCCCCCAGCCCAGAAGTGGGTCTCTGCTGCCCTCTAATGGAAGAAGGCATAGGCTCTGGAGCTGCCAGCTGGGTCCCACTGAGCGGGCTCCCTGACAAAGGGGTACAAAGGGCTCTTCTGCTCCTGCTTTGGTGGTGCAGGCGATTGAACCCATGGCCTCGTACCTGGTAGGTCTTTTTATACCCCTAGGCTCTCCAGCTTTGTCTCTGCAGCCCCCAATGCTGAAGCCTCACTCCTTTCAAGCACACTTCCCTGGTGGCCCCATTTCCCAACTGCTGCCTCTGTCCCGTCGTCTCTCCCACTTTCCTTTGTTGCCCAGGTTCCGATTCTGGCACCATGGCTCCTGGTGCAGCCAGAGTTCTGGTTCCGGAAGGCTCCTCCCAGGAGCCCTGGGCCTGGCTCCCACCTGGACACAGGCAGCACTGAAGACATGGGCAAGAGCCTTCCTCGGTGCCTGGGGCGGCTGGACATCCGCAAAAGTGTAGTGGGCCTGGCCACGGGCGCGGGGGCCATCTACCTGCTCTACAAGGCCATCAGGGCCGGCATCAAATGCAAGCCGCCCCTCTGCACCACCTCGCCCATATGCATCGCCCGTGAGTGTCCGGGCCCTGGGGAGAGGGCTGTGCCCCAAGAGGCAGCTGCTCCCGAGGCCGCCCCTGTGGGAGAGGCTGAAGGTGACTCCTTCAAGTTTCTCTCCTCCTCTTTCCCGTTCTCTCCTGGCACCCATGGGACCCTAGGCCAGGGTCCAGGAGAGTAGATCTCCCTGAAGTGGGACCCCGGACTCTTCCTGTAGCTCTCTAAGTTCTACGATCACTCTGGTTCTGGGATGTCACCTCCTGGGAACTTGACACCGCAGCTTTCCCACCTCCCACTCTTGCCCAGGAACTTGACACTTTGAGGAGTAGGAAGTCAGGAGACCTACCAGCCCGAGGCTTCTATAGTCCGGCTGGGTTTTTTGGTTCATTGTTTTTTTGTTTTTTGGAGATGGTCGCGCCATGTAGTCCAGGCTGGCCTTGAACTTGTGGCAGTCCTGTGATGGGATTATAGGCATGTGCCACCATGCCTGGCTCCACATTTCTGTGGAATTAGAAAAGAGGTGCCTTCTGTGAGATCCTTTATTGCCATCTGCTGGAATATCCTGGAATATACTGGTTACACAAACAGCTTGTTACTGCCATGTGCCAGAAAAGTGTGACAGTAAACAGACACATGCATGACATGAGACAGATGATACGATCTTAGCTGTAGTGTTCTTGTGCAGTACACTCCCTGTTCAGCTGTCCATGATGATCATGCCTGTATCGGGAAGGTTTCTCTTCAGAAAAGGCGAGGTCGCCTTGTCCGCAGGTCCCTCTCCCCAGCTTCCCAACCCATTCATTCATTACTTCTGAGTCCACGGCCTAAACTGGGCTGGGCTGGCTGTCTAGGCCTAGCAATCGAGCGAGAGTGCTACGGGCGGGACTCGGGGGAGCTGCGGAGACTCCTCAACTCCTTGGAGTGCAAGCAGGACGAGTACAGCAAGAGCATGATCCTGCACAGCGTCACCCGCTGTGTGTACTTGCTGGAGGCCGAGGTGAGGGCTGGGGAGGGAGGCCTGCAGCCGGGCTGCCCCGGGCCCCGCAGTCCCTGCTCTCTGGCTGCCGGTGGGAGGGCTGTGCTGAGGGTCTTAGTGACAGGTAGGGCAGTGGCCCCGGACTCCAGCCTCTCCCGCCTCTTCCCTCTGTCCCCACCTTCAGGCCTCCGCTTGTACCACCGATGACATCAGGCTGTTGGGTGACTTGCTGGATGACAGCAACACCAGTGTCAAAATCCAAGCTTTGAACGCACTGAAAGCTTTCTCTGGCATCCGGAAATTCAGGCTCAAAATCCAGGTGCGTCCAGGCACGGAGTACCCAGCACGGCTGTGGTCTTAGGTCCTTTCGTGGTCAGAGTCCCAGCCAGTCGTAAAAGCTATGGAGTCTCAGGATGAATCTGAATCGCCCTGGTGGGATCTCTGAGGCTCAGACTTGCAGTCCTCCTGCCTCAGCCTCCCAACTCAGTTTGAAATGTTTTTAGGCTTCATGTACATGGCAGTGTGTGGTTTATAGTCTTCTATAGCTTGCCTACTCCAAACGTTTGAAAGATTCATCTGTATGGGGCGGTTTTGTTCCCTTCTGTTGGTAGCGGGTAACTGGGCTCCACCACGGAGCCACACCCCCAGTCCTCTGGTTCTGTTTTCACTGCGGTGTCGTTTGCTGTTTTACACGTGCACTGCCATTGGCCTACTGGTTGGTGGGCATTGCATCGTCACCAGATGCTCGTTGCACACATGTGCCGCAGGCACGCTTGTGCACGCCTCCCTTGCTGCCTTAGGAGCTTTTCTCTAGGTGTGTGTATGGGAGTGGGAAGGCCCGGCCCAAGAGTGTGCCCGGTTTTTTGGAAGGGTCGTCCTGATCTCCCTCAGGCGCACAGCGAGTGAGTGTTCCCCTTGTGTCACCACTTCAGCATTTGACATTTTTTTGCATTGAATGCTCTTGGGATAAACTTGCTGGCTGCCCTACTTCATCCCCTGGCCTCTCAGTTTCCTAGAATTCCCAACACCCGGAGACACAGGTGGGTGCATAGATTTTGGGGTCCCCCCACAGCGGTTCCACTCAGCAGGGGAGCAGTGTTTCCCACAGGCCTCCCAGGAGCCTCTCTCAGGACGTTACCCAGGACCGGACCCCTCTCCTGGTCAGAGCTCCCTGGTCTGGGTTTCCGTCCAGCTGTGCTGTCCTGGGGCTCTACAGCCTGGGGCTCCCCGCTGCTTCCTGGTGGCCGGCCACTATGGCCATGGCCTCTAACCCATTATATGCAGATGGAGCCCCCATTCCCTAAGCCAACCGACCTCCAGTGCTTTGCATTCTGTCTTGATTGGCCTCACCTGAGCCATCCACACTGTAGGCTTTGGCTCTGCTACCCTCCGGTAGGGAGGGGACCAGGGATTCACACTTCTGTTCCAGGTCATCGCTTCTGCTGGCGAGGCTGCTCGTCTTTGGTAATAATTCTCAGTCCAAGCATCTTGCACCGCAGAAGGCAAGATCCAGCCATGCACGGTGGTACGCATCTGTAATCCCAGGGCTCAGGGAGGCTGAGGCAGAGGATGGAAAGTTTGAGGTCAGCCCTGGAAGCTTAGTGACTTGGAGAGGACCTGTCTCAAAATAAGAAATAAGAAAGACCAGTGTAGCTCAGTGTGAAGACCCTAACCTAGAGATGATCCCAGTAAGCAAAACAACTCAAGACACTTCTATTCATTGAACAAATATGCACATATGAAAATATATTTGGAGTGGTTTGAGACAGGGTTCGCTATGTAGTTCAGGCTGGCCTTGAACGTGCAGCAATCTTCCTGCCTCAGCCTCCCTACCTCAGCCAGGATTACAGGCGTGCACCACCATACACCGCTGAACAGATGTATATTGAGCTCTTAGGCACTATAGAAGGCACTGGAGATAAAGCAGAAGACAAAACAGGAAAGATCCCTGCCTTTGTGGAATTTATATTCTAACAGCAAGTCAAAATTCCACAAAGTGTAGAATGTATTTCATGTGGTCAGTGCTATGGAGAAAAATGAGTGAGGAAAAGGAAGGGTAGATGGATAGTGTGGCTGCTTTAAATCTTGGAGGGAGGGGATGCAGCTCAGTGTCACAGCACCTGCCTGACAAGTGCAAGGTCTTGAGTTCAATCCCTGGTACCACAAAAAAAAAAAAAACCTCGGTGGTAAAGAGTTTGTGACACCAAAAGTACCATCTATAAAAGAAAAAGTCAGAACATTGGACTTCATTAAATGTTAAAACTGTCTGTTCCATGAAAGAGCTTTTAAAAGATGAAAAGACGAGTTGCAGACCGGAAGAAAGTGTTCGTAAACCCCGCACCTGACAAGAGGACTTGCCCGGATTACGTAAAGACCTCTCAGAGCTCGATGTTAAGACAAGCAATCCACGGGCAAAAGATAGGAAGAGAGGTTTTGCTGAAGAGGAGGAGCAGATTACAAGCCAAGGAACAAATATTTAATATCACTAGCTTTTAGGGCAATGCAAACGAAGACTATTAAGGAAATTAACACAAACCTATTCAAAGATCCAAAATTAAAATTGATGATGACAACACGTGCTGGAGAAGACATGGAAACACTGGAACTCTTCCATCGCTAACGTGAAACAGGAGGGCCAGCGCTCTGCTCTGGAAGGCAGCTTGGCCGGTGTCTTTCCTGGGGTCCGCTGCGGAGCGGGGCTGTGCGCAGGCTCTGTGGGCGTTCTACGGGTGGTGCTGCGTTCCCAGCCCCAGCTTCTTAGAAAATGCGATGTAGGGCCCGGGGATTTAGCTCAGTGCCACCGCGCCTGCCTGGCAAGCTTAAGGTCTTGAGTTTGATCCCCGGCACACACACCCCCAACAATCAAACAAAACAAACAAAAAAAGCTACTCACTGTGCATTTAGCTGCACTTAGGGACTTTTATCCTAGAGGAGTGAAAATTTACATGTGTGCGGAAAGGCGTGCAGAGTTGTTCCCGGCAGCTTTATTTGAAATAGCCCAAGACTAGAACCAACCGTGCGAAGGAATACACTCAGTAATAATGAAATACTCATACTTGTGCTGTGATGGATCTCAAGGGCATTGCCCCGAGTGGGGGGAAGAAGCCAATCTCAAAGTTTGCATGAAATGTGATTGTCTACATGCACCGTTCTTCAAAAAGTTAGAGAAGGAAAACAGATTGGCCTTTGCCCAGGATTTGGGCTGAGGAAGTGGGTGGCGGTGACTAAAGGAGCCCCCGAGAGGGAGCTCATTGTGACGGGACAGTGGCCTGTGGGATAATTGGTTGTGATTACAGAAGTGTGTAGTGATAAAATGATAGAACGAGGCCAAGGGTGCTGGTGCACGCCTGTAATCCCAGCACTCTGGGAGGCTGAGGCAGGAGGATCACAAGTTTGAGCGAATTAGCAAGACTGTCTCAAAATAAAAAGTGAAAAAAGGGCTAGTGCTACAGCTCAGTGAAAAGGCCCTGGTTCAATTCACAGTGCTGGCAAAATTTTCTAAAAGAATTTGTTATACACATTGCACCAACACTAGTTTCCTAGTTTTAAAAAATAAGTATATATTTGTGATACATAATAAGATTCTTCTTGGGGAACTGGCACTCAGAAGTATGGCATTTAATAATTTTTATTTCCCCTTTGTCTTTGGCTCTCCCATCAGTCTCGTCTTGATATTGTATTATCACCTAAGACGTAACCATCCAGGGAGATGGGGTGACAGGCACAGGGGACCTCTCTGAAGTGTTCTGCAACTTCCTATGAATTTATAATTATTTCCAAATGAAAAGGAATCACAAATTGATAATTTATAGTCACTCAAGAATACGGGGCCAGAGATTTAGCTCAGTGGTTCCGCTGCCTGCCTCACAAGCACAAGGACCTGGGTTTGATCCTCGGTACCAAAAA